CACAGCTCCCCCGGTTGTGGCTGGTCTGGAGTGTTCGCTCCCTTAGGAGGAGGAGGAGGAGGAGGAGGAGGAGGAGGAGGAGGAGGAGGAGGAGGAGGAGGAGGAGGAGGAGGATAGGAGGAGGAGGAGGAGGAGGAGGAGGAGGAGGAGGAGTTCTTCCGAGGCCCGTAGGCTCACGGGGGGGGGGGGGGGTGCATCGAGCCCGTGCCGCCGCCCACTCATCGCCGATAGGGGGCGAGACGGCCCACCGCGCCCAGGAACGTGCGGGCCTGTCCCTCTACAGGAGAGATATTCGAACATAGTCAGAACATAGATTTTTTTTTTGGGGGGGGGGGCCATTTTGGGGTATGGTTTGACGATTTTTTATGTCCGACTTGAATTTATCGCCATCTTCTCGTTGCGGCTTACGATTGGCCTCTGGGGCCTCTGAATGGGCTCGAGGTGGCTGAAGAGACTTTCGACAGGGGCCAAAGCCCCAGCAGATCCCGCCTATCTTCCAATCACGCCCCTAGAGAGAGTACCCCAAGGTGGCCTCGAGAGCCCTCCCCCAAAGCTTCCAACTCTGAGGTACGGGCCCAGCAGAGAGTTGTATGGCCCCATGGGCAGGAGTACCTCAAGAGGGCACCAGGACGGTCCTGGCAGGGCCCCGCAGGCCCCACCAGGGAGCCCTAAGAGTGCTCGAGGAGGTCCCTTACGATCAATGTAGTTCGTGGCTTGACGCAGCTGTGATTTTCAGAGCACTGCGGACACTGGGTCACCGATAGTACTTTTGTTGGCCTCCTGGGGCAGTTCTGCAGGGCTCCTGGAGGGCCTCGTCAGGTCTTGTAGCACGCCCCAACATGCCGTTGGCATCGTGGCGAGTACAGACAAGGAGAGCAAGCGAGCGAGCGAGCGAGATAGAAAGAGAGAGAGAGAGAGAGAGAGACTGAGACAGGCTTTACGAGCACTGCGGCTGGGCATCTTGCAGGGCGAGGACGCCGAAGGCACTCCCTTTGCCGATATGTGGGCTTCAGAGGCACTTGATAATAGCGGCAGTGTTGATCGGCAGGATGTGGGTACAGTGGGCATTTTTCGGTGATGATGATCGGCTCCAAATCCGCTCGTGATAAGGTCGGCAGTTTAGATTTCTTGCACGCGCATTCGTTGTCTTGGTGGAAAACGCCTCCAGCGAATCGCCGCCTTCCCCTGCCTTCTGGAAGCGCCCGTGTGGTGGAGTGCCGTGCGTCATGGCGCTCTTTTCAGGCCTCGTGGGCCCTCTTGGATGCCCCAGGGGGCTCTTGGGCCACCTTAGGGTTAAGTCGGGCCTGTCCCTCTACAGGGGGAATCTTCAACAATAGGGAAAATGGTTTAAAACAAATAATATTTTTGAGCATTTTTGGAGTATTTTTCGAGTATTCTCAATTTTCCGCTCAAAATCCCCCTGTGGGGGGACAGGCCCGACCTAACCTTAGGGCTCTGTTTGGGCCGTCTTGGAGTGCTCTCGGGCCGTCTGGCGCCCTCGGAGGGCACACCCGGGGGCCTGTGTGGACCTTCTTGGGGACTTTCTCGGGGCCGTCGTGGGGCTCCCTTGGTCTCCTCCTCCTCCTCCTCGCCCATCTTGGGCCCGCCTCGGGGGGGCCCCTTGGGCCGTCCTGGTTTCTGGAAGCCAGACGAGACGAGAGCGCGAACGCCGTGCGACACCGAGAGGGGGAGCGCCTCGATTCTGACCTCCTCGGGGCCTCCTTGGAGGTCCTCTTGTTGGAGCCCTCCCGGGTCTTGGGAGCGCCCCGGGGCCATGTTGAGGGGCCATCTTGGGCCGTGCCGGGGATGTCTCTGGCCGTCTTGGAGGCACCTTGGAGCCATCTTGGGCCCTCGTGTGGCCACCTTGGCCGTCTCGGGGGCCATCTCGGAACCCTCTCGGAGCCGCCTTGGACAGAACATCCGACGGGCTTCTGCCGTTTCTCTTGGCGGACCCTCTTTCTGTGGCGGACTGGCCTCTTCCCTGGCGGCGTTCTGGGAACGAGTCCAGTCCAGGTCGGTGCGATTTCCGAAGGAAGCTGCACGCGTCGGCTCTTGAAGTTCCAAGCGGCATGTGAGCAACTGGCAAATGAGGTTTTTGCAAGCAGGACGCGGGAGAAAGCCCTGTGGTGAACGGCCTGGCGCACTCCAAGTGTAGTAGTATACAGCAAGTGCAATATTTCTTGGAATGCATGGACCACGAGCTCAGTGGCAGCTTGGTTAACATGGCAAGCGAAAGCGAACTAGGGGGCTTCCTTAATGGCTGACGGGGGGTCGGAGAAGTACGGATGGAGGATCATTGGGAGGGAGAGGCTAACATATCTGAGAAGGAGAAGACGAGCGCGGGCAAGTGAAGGGGGGAGAAGAGGGCATATGTAAATCAATGTATATGTATAGATAAGAATGAATCTGTTTATATATTCCTCGAACACTGCTTGCCCTTAGGGTTTCCTACTTCTTCCCCGCACAATGCTTGCACTTTGAGCTTCTTCATTCTGTCGCTAAGTTATCCTTCGGGTTTGGCGAGGATGTTTCACATTGCCGCCTCGTGGCCTCCTCCTGGACGCCCTGAGCGCTGGGTGGGTCCGGCGAGGTCTCGCCATGTTGCCGCCCGTGGCAGTCTCGTGGCCGCCTCGTGCGCTGGGTGGGTTCAGCGAGGTTCGGCCACGTCGCCGCCCGTTGCCACCTCGAGGCCGCATCGTGCGCTGGGTGGGTCCAGCGAGGTTTCGACACGTCGCCGCCCGTGACCGCCTCGTGCGCCAGGTGGGTCCAGCGAGGTTTCGCCATGTTGCAACTTGTGGCCGCCTCGTGCCGCCTCGTGCGCTGGGTGGGTCTGGCGAGGTTTTGCCCCGTTGCAGCCCGTGGCCGTGGCCGCTTTGTGGCTGTGTGCCTGGTGGGTCCGCTGAGTTTTTGCCTCGGTGCCGACTCCGTGGTCGCCTCGCGGGCGCACTGTGCGTACACTATATAGCTCACACTACATTTGATTGTGCCACATAGTTTCACCTCGCAGCTCATACCACATAGGGTGCTTACACCCTTTATCTCACACAGTATAGCTCAGACCACATAGATTGCACCACTGCTTGCACCGCGCAGCTCTCACCACATGGATTGCACTGCATAGATTGTTGTAGCATTTAGACTGCTCCACGAAGCTTGCACGTGCACCGGGTGGGTCTGGCGAGGTTTCGCCAGGGTGGGTGGGTCTGGCGGTGTTTCGCCACGTTGCCGCCCGTGGTCGCCTCGTGGCTGCCTCGTGCGTTGGTGGTGTCCAGCAAGATTTCGCCACATTGCTGCCCGTGGCCGCCTCGTGATCGCCTCGTGCGCTGGGTTAATCCGGCGAGGTTTCGCCACGTTGCCGCCTGTGGCCGCCTCGTAGCCGCCTCGTGCGCTGAGTGGGTCTGGTGAGGTTTCGGCATGTCGGTGGCCGCCTCGTGGCCGCCTCGTACGCTGGGTGGTCGGACTCCACCACATAGCTTACACCGCACAGCTCACATATCATACCTCACACCAGCTTGCATCACGTAGATTGCACAACTTAGCGTGCACCACGAAGCTTGTACTACAGCTTGGATCACATAGCTTACACTACATAGCTTGCACCACATACACATACACATATCATATCATATATACATACATATGTAGATAGCACCACATATATTGCACAACGTAGCTTGCGCCACGTAGCTTGCACCGCGTAGCTTTCACCACGTATATTGCACAACGCTTGCACCACGCAGATTGCACCGCGTGTGGTGCAACACGTAGACTGCACCACATAGCGTGCATCACATAGCTTGCACCACGTAGCTTGCACCACATAGCCTACACCACATAGCTTACACCCCATGGTGGCACCACATAACTTGCACTTCCCAAACGCAATAACTGACTGTTTATTGTACACTCTGGCAAGCATCTATTTGTCTACCCTATATAATCATATCCGACCCCCCCTGGTAAATCCGCAGTGGCCAGTCCACGCCGACCTTCCCCCCCACAGAGTCCCATGACGGCTCCAACATAGTTCAGGAAGCTCCCATTCCTTCTGCCCAGTACCCGTCAACAGGCCTCTTGGACCATTTCGGAGGCCCCAAGAACCCCAAGATGGCCGCAGGCTGTTTTTTCAAGACGGCCCACGACGAACCCAAAACCGCCTCGTATGGCCCAAGAGGCCCCCAAGAGGCCCCCCAAGACGGCCGAGAAGCTTCCAGGAGGTCCTCCTCCCTACGGTAGGTTTGCGGTGTGTCGACCAGCGGCGACCCCAGCGCGGGCGTTCAAGGTTGAACGCCGCCGGCGACCCAGAATCGATCGATGTTGAACGATCGGACGTTGCGGCAGCGGCCGATCGTTCAAGGTTGAACGATCCCTGCGGTGTCAAAAACCAACGCTGGGGTCGGCACGACACGAACCTGCCGTAGCCTCTTTGGCTCAAGCTGATTCGAATCCGCCCAATTTTGAATTCGACGCGCGGCCCGCTGCACTGCCATAGCGCAGCGTCCAGGATCTAGCGTGTCTGGCAGAGCGTCCGGAGATGTGGTCGTGCAAACTCCTCTTCGTCTTCTTGCCGTATCTTGGCGGCGCGGCTCCGACGCGCAGGCCGAGCCTGAACGTCAACACCACGGGCCCCTTTCCAGGCTTGCAGGCCTGGGTAAGCGTCAGTTTCGGCCCCGTTGCCGAGCGGAAGCGGGAAGGAGAAAATTGTTGGCTGGGCGTTTTCTCAGCGACGGCAAACCTGACTGCCGCGCCCTGGGCGCCGGCCGACATTGGAGGTGTCAGCGCGGATGTGCCCAACACCGTCAGCTCGCCGATGAAGTTCATTAATTGTGATGACACCGCAGGTCTGGAATTCCGTGCCACGGGTTTTGGCCGCCACGAGGTGCGCCTCCTCAATATGAGGCAGGATTTGATCATTGCCCTCTTTAGCAACGGTTGGGAGCACCCAGTACTTGAGAGCAAGACTGAGCCGCTTGTTTTCTCAGACTACCGATTGCCGATGCATGGACACATTGCGCTCGCGGCCACTGAAGGGGAGATGCTGGTGCAGTGGACTAGCCTCACCGCAACAAGCCCTGGAGTGCAGTGGAGTGTGCAGCGTTCTGGCACACCCTATCGAAGACGCCTACGGCGAACCACCGCCGCCTCCTGCCTTTTTGGAAGCGCCTATGTGGCCGAACGTTGGGGCCAGACCTGCCAAGCTATCGGACCATGTCTTCCCCGAATCGGTTTGGAGAGCCTTCGGGGAACACGTGGGCATCTTGAAAGTCATCTTGGCCGCCTGGAGGCCATTTTGACCCTTTCGGGCCTTCTTGGAGGACGTCTTGGAGGGCTCTTGGGCCGTCTTGGAGGCCTTCTTGAGCGTCTTGGAGGCCTCTTCGGCCTTCTTGGGGGCCTCTTGGGGCCGTCTTGGGCCTCTTGGGCGATCTTTGGGGGTACTTGGGCCGTCTCGGGCCGTCGGAAGGCCGAACAAGAAGCAAATGCCACAATCCTTCAAAAGCTCCTGGGGAATCAATGATTTTGATCTTCTCGGGCCTTCCTGGAGGCCCTCTTGGAGGCCTCTTGGGCTGTCTTGGGCCATCTTAGGGCCATCTTCGGCCGTCTTGGTGGGCTCTTGGCCTGTCTGACGCCGTCGGAAGCCGTTTGGGGGGCCTCTCTGGGCCGACTTGGGGCCCTTTTGTAATGTTTCAGGGCCGTCTTGGAGGCCATCTTTGGCGTCTTGAAGGCCTCCTGGGCCGTGATGGGGGCCTCTTGGGGCCGTCTTGGGGGCCTCTTGGGCAGTTCTAGGGCAATCTTGGAGGCCTCTTGGGCGATCTTTTGGCGATCTTTGGGCGATCTTTGGGCGATCTTTGGGCGATCTTTGGGCGATCTTTGGGGGCTCTTGGGCCGTCTCGGGCCGTCGGAAGGCCGACAAGAAGCAAATGTCAAAATCCTTCACAATCCTTAGGGAAACCATAGTTTTTGGCCTTTTCTGGCCTTCCTGGAGGCCCTCTTGGAGGCCTCTTGGGCCGTTTTGGGCCAGCTTCGAGCCAACTTCGGCCATCTTGGTGGGTTCCTGGCCCTTCTGACGCCGTCGGGTGCCGTCTTGGAGGCCTTTCTGAACCGGCTTGGGGCCCTCTTGGGGCGCTTTTGGGCTGTCTTGGAGGCTATCTTGGGTGTCTTGGAGGCCTCTTGGCCCGTCTTGGGGCCCTCTTGGGGCCGTCTTGGGGGCCTCTTGGGCCGTCTGGGGCCGTCGGTAGGCCGAGAAGAAGCAAATGCCAAAATCTTTCAAAACCCAAAGGAAAATCAATGATTTTTGCCTCTTCGGGCCCTCCTTGAGGACCTCTTGGAGGCCTCTTGGGTCGTCTTGGGCTGTCTTGGAGGCTTCTTGGGCGAACTTGGAGGTATCTTGGACTCTCTTGGGCCGTCTTGGAGGCCGTCTTGGACCATCCTGGGCGGACTTGGAGGCCATCTTGCACCATCTTGGAGGCCATCTTGGGCCAACGTGGCCATCTTGGAGTCCGTCTTGGGCCATCTTGAGCGAACAATTGGGGAATTGAGATCCTGGGCAATCTTTCCGGGTGGCGGGCGAGACGGGCCGAAGGCCCAGGGGGAGTTCTTTTGGAAAAAGAACGGGAACCAAAACCGAAAGGATTCAGCACGCCAGGCACCCCTGCGATGAATCGACATGGGGCGGCGGATCGAAGACGCCTGCGGCGAATGACCGCCGCCCCCTGCCTTTGTGGAAGCGCCTATGTGGCCGAACGTTGAGGCCAGACCTGCAAAGCTATCGGACCATGTGTTCCCCGAATCGGTTTGGAAAGCCTTCGGGGAACACGTGGGCATGTTGAAGGTCATCTTGGCCGCCTGGAGGCCACTGTGACCCTTTCGGGCCTTCTTGGAGGACGTCTTGGAGGGCTCTTGGGCCGTCTTGGAGGCCTTCTTGAGCGTCTTGGAGGCCTCTTCGGCCTTCTTGGGGGCCTCTTGGGGCCGTCTTGGGCCTCTGGGGCATTTGGGCCGTCTCGGGCCGTCGGCAGGCTGAACAACAAGCAAATGCCACCAATCCTTCAAAGGCTCATGGGAAATCAATGATTTTGGCATTTTCGAGCCTTCCTGGATGCCCTCTTGGAGGCCTCTTGGGCCGTCTTGGGCCATCTTAAAGCCATCTTCGGCCGTCTTGGTGGGCCCCTGGCCGCCTGGCCCGTCCGACGCCGTCGGAAGCCGTTTGGGGGGCCTCTCTGAGCCGACTTGGGGCCCTCTTGGAACGCTCTAGGGCCGTCTTGGAGGCCATCTTGGGCGTCTGAAAAAGCCTCCTGGGCCATCTTGGGGGCCTCTTGGGGCCGTCTTGGGGGCCTCTTGGGCAGTTCTTGGGCAATCTTGGAGGCCTCTTGGGCGATCTTTGGGCGATCTTTGGGCGATCTTTGGGGGCTCTTGGGCCGTCTCGGGCCGTCGGAAGGCCGACAAGAAGCAACTGTCAAAATCCTTCACAATCCTCAGGGAAACCATAGTTTTTGGCCTTTTCTGGCCTTCCTGGAGGCCCTCTTGGAGGCCTCTTGGGCCGTTTTGGGCCAGCTTCGAGCCAACTTCGGCCATCTTGGTGGGTTCCTGGCCCGTCTGACGCCGTCGGGTGCCGTCTTGGGGGCCTTTCTGAACCGGCTTGGGGCCCTCTTGGGGCGCTTTTGGGCTGTCTTGGAGGCTATCTTGGGTGTCTTGGAGGCCTCTTGGCCCGTCTTGGGGCCCTCCTTGGGGCCGTCTTGGGGGCCTCTTGGGCCGTCATGGGGCCATCTTGGAGACCTCGTGGGCCGTTCTGGGGCCATTTGGGAGGTCTCTTTGGGGGCTCTTGGGCCGTATCGGGCCGTCGGTAGGCCGAAACGAAGCAAATGTCAAAATCCTTCGAAAACCTAGGGAAATACATTATTTTGGCCTTCTCGGGCCTTCCTGGAGGCCCTGTTGGAGGCCTCTTGGGCCGTCTTGGGCCAGCTTCGAGCCAACTTCGGCCATCTTGGAGGGCCCCTGGGCCGTCTTGGACGCCTCTTGCTGTCCATTTGGGCCGTCTTAGGCCATCTTGAGGCCATTTGGGGCCGTCTTGGGTGCATCTAGGGGCCATCTTCGCCGTCTTGGAGGCCAGACAGGCCGTCTTGGAGGCATCTTGGAGGCCATCTTGGCCGTCTTGGACGCCATCTTGAGCGTCTTGGAGGCGTCTTGGGTCGTCTTGGGGCCCCCTTGGGGCTGTCTTGGGGGCCTCTTGGGCCGTCTGGGGCCATCTTGGAAGCCTCGTAGGCGATCTTGGGGCGATCTTGGGGGCCTCTTGGGCCGTCTGGGGCCGTCGGAATGCTGAGAAGAGACACATTCCAAAATCCTTCAAAAATCTAAGGAACATCAATGATTTTGCCCTCTTCGGGCCTTCTTGGCGGACCTCTTGGAGGCCTTTTGGGCCGTATTGAAGGCCTCTTGGGCCGTCTTGAGCCATGTTGAGGCCATCCTGAGGCTATCTGGGGCCGTTTTGGGTACATCTTGGGCCGTCTTGGAGGCATCTTGGGGCCATCTTAGCCGTCTTGGAGGCCATCTTGGGCCGTCTTGGAGACGTCTTGGAGACAATCCTGGGCCATCTTGGCCGTCTTTGACGCCATCTTGGGCCAACTGGAGGAAACAGAGGCACGACGGACGCGTTTTGAGGTCCTTTGCGGGTGGCCGGCGGGACGGGCCGAAGCCCCAGGAGGAGTTCTTTTGGGAAAAGAACCAAAACCAATCACATATAGTTTGGCACGCCAGGCACCCCTGCGATGAATCGACATGGGGCGGCGGATAAGACGCCTGCGGCGAATCACCGCCGCCCCCTGCCTTTCTGGAAGCGCCTAGGTGGCCGAACGTTGAGGCCAGACCTGCCAAGCTATCGGACCATGTCTTCCCCGAATCGGTTTGGAGAGCCTTCGGGGAACACGTGGGTATCTTGAAAGTCATCTTGGCCGCCTGGAGGCCATTTTGACCCTTTCGGGCCTTCTTGGATGACGTCTTGGAGGGCTCTTGGGCCGTCTTGGAGGCCATCTTGAGCGTCTTGGTCTTGGGTCGTATTGGGGGCCTCTTCGTGGGCCTCTTGGGCGATCTTTGGGTGCACTCGGGCCGTCTCAGGCCGTCGGAAGGCAGAAAACAAATGAATGCCACAATCCTTCAAAAGCTCATGGGGAATCAATGATTACCTAACAGCGTAGACTGATAGGTTTCTAGTTGACTCAAAAGAGCTCACAGATCACTCCACAGGGGGGTCCGGGCAGGTGTTGGGGAGTTGCCGGGCGGCAGGGTGCCGGGCTCGTTTTTCACCAACAGTCACACACTTCGTGCTCTTCGACTTCCCAGAACTCCATTACCCATGGTCACACATTCGAGATCCCAGAACGCCATTCCCGGGCCACCCGGATGCAACAGTCACACACTTCGTGCTCTTCGAGTTCCCAGAACTCCATTCCCGGGCCACATTTTGGATGCCCGGAGCCAACTGTAGGCCACTTCGTGCTCTTCGAGTTCCCAGAACTCCATTCCCGGGCCACATTTTGAATGCCCGGAGCCAACTGTAGGCCACTTCGTGCTCTTCGAGTTCCCAGAACTCCATTCCCGGGCCACATTTTGAATGCCCGGAGCCAACTGTAGGCCACTTCGTGCTCTTCGAGTTCCCAGAACTCCATTCCCGGGCCACATTTTGAATGCCCGTAGCCAACTGTAGGCAACTTCGTGCTCTTCGACTTCCCAGAACTCCCATTCCTGGGCCACATTTTCAGCAGGGGCAAGAGCACGACGAGGAGGAGGACGAGCAAGACCAGGAGGACGAGGACGAGCAGGAGCAGGACGAGGAGCAGGAGGAGCAGGAGAAGAAGGACGAGCAGGAGGAGGAGGAGGACGAGCAGGAGGAGGAGGACGACCAGGAGGAGGAGGACGACCAGGAGGAGGAGGAGGAGGAGGAGGAGGGGAGGGGGAGGAGTACCAGGAGGAGGAGGAGGAGGAGGAGGAGGAGGAGGAGGAGGAGGAGGAAGAGGAGGAGGAGGAGGAGGAGGACGAGGACGAGGAGGAGGAGGAGGAGGGGGGGGGAGAGTACCAGGAGGAGGAGGAGAACGAGAGAACACGACCGAGGAGGAGGAGGAGGAGGAGGAGGAGGAGGAGGAGGAGGAGGAGGAGGAGGAGGAGGAGGAGGAGGAGGAGGAGGAAGAGGAGGAGGAGGACGAGGAGGAGGAGGAGGAGGAGGACGAGGAGGAGGAGGGGGGGGGAGAGCACCAGGAGGAGGAGAACGAGGACCACCAGGAGGAGGAGGAGGAGGAGGAGGAGGAGGAGGAGGAGGAGAGAGCACCAGGAGGAGGAGGACGAGCAAGACGAGGAGGACGAGAACGAGGACGAGCAGGAGGAAGAGGAGGAGGAGGAGGAGGAGGAGGAGGAGCAGGAGAAAGAGGAGGAGGAGGAGGAGGCAGGCTGAGGCTGAGGCTGTGACTGCGACTGCCGTTGCCGCTGCGACTGTCATCGCGAATGCGACTACGACTGCGAGAACAGCAGAATTCGACAACTGGATTTTCATCTGAATCTTAAGGGGAATGCTTTCAGATATGCTTCTACACATCGCTGTTAGGATGCTTTGCCGGGATAATTTTGACCTTCTCGGCCCTTCCTGGAGGCCCTCTTGGAAGCCTCTTGGGCCGTCTTGGGCCATCTTAGGGCCATCGTCGGTCGTTTTGGTGGGCTCCTGGCCCGTCCGACGCCGTCGGAAGCCGTTTGGGGGGCCCCTCTGGGCCGACTTAGGTTCCTCTTGGAATGTTCCAGGGCCGTCTTGGAGGCTATCTTGGGCGTCTGAAAAAGCCTCCTGGGCCGTCTTGGGGGCCTCTTGGGCCGTTCTGGGGCCATCTTGGAGGCCTCTTGGGCGATCTTTCGGCGATCTTTGGGGGCTCTTGGGCCGGCCGTATTGGGCCTTCGGATGGCTGAAAAGAAGCACATGCCAAAAACCTTCAAACACTTAGGACAAATACTGTTTTTGGCCTTCCTGGAGGCCCTCTTGGAGACCTCTTGGGCCGTCTTGGGCCAGCTTCGAGCCAACTTCGGCCATCTTGGTGGGCTCCTGGCCCGTCTGACGCCGTCGGATTCCGTTTGGGGGTCCTCTCTGGGCCGATTTGGGGCTCTCTTGGGGTGCTCCAGGGCCGTCTTAGAGGCCATCTTGGGCATCTTGGAGGCCTCTTGGGTCGTCTTTGTGCCCTCTTGGGGCCGTCTTGGGGGCCTCTTGGGCAGTCCTGAGGCCATCTTGGAGGCCTCTTGGGCGCTGTGGGGGCGATCTTAGGGGCCTTTTGGGCCGTCTTGGGTCGTCGGAAAGCTGAAAAGGAGCAAATACGAGCATCCTTCAAAACCGAAGGAAAAACAATGATTTTGGCCTCTTCGGGCCCTCCTGGAGGATCTCTCGGAGGTCTCTTGGGCCGTCTTGGAGGCCTCTTGGGCACCTCTTGGGCCGTCATGGGCCGTCTTGGAGGTTTCTTGGGCGGACTTGGAGGCATCTCCTCCTCTCTTGGGCGGATTGGAGGCCATCTTGGACCATCTTGGAGGCCATTTCAGGCCATCTTGGCCATCTTGGAGGCCATCTTGGCCGTCTTGGGGGCCTCCTGGGCCGTCATGGGGCCATCTTGGAGACCTCGTGGGCGATCTTGGGGCGATCTTGGGGGCCTCTTGGGCCGTCTGGGACCGTCGGAATGCCGAGAAGAAGCAAATGCCAAAATCTTTCAAAACCCAAGGGATAATCAATGATTTTTGCCTCTTCGGGCCTTCCTGGAGGACCTCTTGGAGGCCTCTTGGGCCGTCTTGGAGGCCTCTTGGGGGCCTCTTGGGCCGTCGTGGGCCATCTTCAGGCTATCTTAGGCCGTCTAGGGTACATCTTGGGCCGTCTTGGAGGCATCTTGGGGCCATCTGAGCCGTCTTGGAGGCCATCTTGGCCGTCTTGGAGGCATCTGGGCCGTCTTGGAGGCCATCTTGGGGCCGTCTGGGGAAGGAAAACCGTTGGCAACAGTGTCTTCCGGGTGGCCGGCGGGACTGGCCGACGCCCCAGGGGGAGTTCATTTGGAAAAATAGCCAAAACCGAAAGCCATATCGTCTGGCACGCCAGGCACCCCTTTGATGAATCAAAAGGGGGCGGCGGATCGAAGACGCCTACGGCGAATCACCGCCGCCCCATGCCTTTTTGGACGCGCCTATGTGGCCGAACGTTGAGGCCAGACCTGCCAAGCCAGGAAGGACCATGTGTTCCCCGAATCGGTTTGGAAAGCCTTCGAGGAACATGTGGGCATCTTGAAGGTCATCTTGGCCGCCTGGGCCTCTTGGGCGATCTTTCGGCGATCTTTGGGGGCTCTTGGGCCGTCTCGGGCCGTCGGAAGGCCGAAAAGAAGGAAATGTCAAAATCCGTGGAAAACCCAAGGGAAATCAATGTTTTTGGCCTTTTCTGACCTTCCTGGAGGCCCTCTTGGGGGCCTCTTGGGCCGTCTTGTGCCAGCTTCGAGCCAACTTCGGCCATCTTGGTGTGCTCCTGGCACGTCTGACGCCGTCGGGAGCCGTCTTGGCGGCCTTTCTGGGCCAACGGGGGACCCTCTTGGGGCGCTTCGGGGCCGTCTTGGAGGCAATCTTGGGCGTGTTGGAGGCCTCTTGGGCAGTCTTGGGGCCCTCTTGGGGCCATCTTGGAGGCCTCTTGGGCCGTCATGGGGCCCTCTGGGGGGCCTCTTGGGCGATCTTGGGGGCCTCTTGGGCCGTCTTGAGCCGTCGGAATGCCGAGAAGAAGCAAATGCCAACAGTCTTGGAGGCCGTCTTGGACCATCTTGGGCGGACTTGGAGGCCATCTTGGGCCATCTTCGCGATTTTTTGAGGTTGTCCCGAGCGAAACGGCCGTTTCTTGGGCAGGAAATTGGGAAATTAGGGGGGCCTTCTGGGTGGCCGGCGGGACGGGCCAAAGCCCCAGGGGGAGTTCTTTCTGGAAAAAGAGCCAAAACCAAAAGCCATATCGTCTGGCACGCCGGGCACCCCTATGCTAAAGCAAAAGGAGGCGGCGGATCTGATGACCTTCGGCCCATCCCGCCACCGTGCCTGGGTTGTGGGTATGAAGCTTATTGGATGTTCGTTGGGATCTCGTGGGAGGCTTCTTGGGGGCCTTTTGGAGGCAGTTTCAGGGGCCTCTTGGGGACTTCTTGGGGCCTCCTGAGGGCGTCTTGGGGCGGAAGGCTCGGATTTTCGGTTTGTGCTCCTTCTCTTGGGATTTTTTTGGGGCCGTCTTGGGGCCCCTTTGGGCTGTTTTGGGTGCCCTCGTGGGCCGCTTTGGGGCCCTCTTGGAGGCCTCTTGGGCCGTTTTGGGCGCCCTCGTAGGCCGTTTTGGGGCCTCTTGGAGGCGTCTTGGGCCGTCGTGGAGCGGTCTTGGGGGCCTCTAGGGCCGTCCGCGAGCGTCGGGAAGCCGAAATGGCGACAACGCCAAGATCCTTCGGAACCTAAGGAAGATCAATGGTTTTGGCCTCTTGGGGCCCTTTTTGGAGGCCTTTCGGAGGCCTCTTTGGGCATCTTGGCGGCCTCGTGGGCCGTCTGAGGGCCATCTTGGGCGTCCTGGGGCGATCGTTCGGCGACTCGGGGCCCTCTTGGACCGTCTTGGCGGCCTCTGGGAGCCTTCTTGGCCCGTCTTAGGGCCCTGTTGGGCCCGAACAAGTCACGCGACAAGACGCAGCAAGCCCCAGGGGAACCGCGGGAAGTCCAAGACGATTTGAGAATTTGGGGTCCAGACCCCTAGGAGACTCCTCAGGAGTGAGGACTGAGGCTCAGGGGATTGGGCAAAATACCTGAGGACACGCCCACTCTGTGCCCAGGGGCACGGTGGCGGATCAGAGCATGGTTGCAGCTTCCACGAGTTCGAAATACGGCGCGGAGGACTTATGCGGCGTCCCAGCGAACCGAGAGGGTTATTTAGATCCTGGTTTCCAGCACGCGGCCGCCTTGGCGTGGCCGGCCAGTGCCGAGCCTGGCACGAAGATCTTCTACAGGTTTGGCTCGATCGCAGAGGACGTTTGGTCAACAGAGCGCTGGTTCGAAGTCCCACATCATGCAGGCCCGAATGTGTCCACGACAATACTTGTGGTTGCGGATGTTGGAACCGCCGAGCCAGACTCGTTCCAGTCCCACTGGTCGAACCCACTCGGCGGCCAGACTGGATCCGAAGTGCTGGCAAATGTTACTTACGCGCGGATCCGAGATGCTCCACAGAGTCAGGCAGTGCTTCACATTGGGGACATCTGCTACGCGACTGGCTATGCAGCGAAATGGGAGTTCTTCATGGATCATATCGAAGATCTCGCCACGCGAACACCTTACATGGTTTCTCAAGGGAACCACGAGCGGGACTGGCCTGGCACCGGGTCCCTTGGCTCAACGGACAGCGGTGGGGAGTGCGGTAGGCCTATGGAATCACGTTTTCGAATGCCCACCCCGTCTCAGAAACAGAAACTTGGATGGTACTCCATTGACATTGGTGCGATGCACATTGTCATGTTGGATACTGAGTTGCCTTGTGGGAGAGGTTCGGATCAGCTGGAATGGTTGGCAGCGGATCTGAAATCGGTGGACCGATCGCGCACGCCGTGGCTCGTCGTGACTGGGCATCGTGCGATGTACAGCGTAGATGGAGACTACCATCTCGAAAGCGTAGGCCCCGATCTTTCGGATTCATTCTGCCTTGGAGCAAGCAGCTCAGATTTGGAGGATCTTTTTTTGACGAATGAGGTTGACTTGTGTTTGTGGGGGCACTTTCACAATGCGTTGGCCACGTGTCCCGTCTACAATGGAACCTGCGTTTCGCAGCCCACTTTGTCCAGCTCGCGCCTGGGCTACATGTACTCGGCACCTGTGCATGCGGTTATCGGGAACGGCGGTCAGACTTTGACTCCTACCGCGAAGCGCCCAGCACCGTGGGTGGCGTGGCAAGCTAGCACGTGGGGGTGGAGCGCGTTGACAGCAGAAGGCTCACGGCAACTGCGGTTGACATTCTACGCCGAAGACAACGCCACTCTTCATCACATACAGCTGGGGACGTGGGGTGACTGTGACGGCTCCTCTCCCCTCTAGTTTTTTAGGAACGGGTGCGATGTGTACGCCTCAGAGGTGCAGCGCTCCCTGTTACTCGCCAGCTTGTGCAGCTCGGCGCTGCAGCGGCGACGCGGCCATGGCCCTCCCAGGGGCCCGGGGGCTCGGCGAGCTTTTTCTGCAGTCCGCAAGCTGCGCTGTGGCTGGCGGCGGCCGCAGCCCGCCATGATGGCGGCGTGCTCGCGCCAGTAGTGACCCAGCGGCGGGGGCCGCATTTCGACATGATGGTTGGGCGGCCCGCCCCCCGCAGTGTTCTGCGGAGGCACGTTCCCCCGTGGGAGGCGGAATCGAGAAGAACATGCCTCCAGGAGGTCCTCCAGGAGGCCCCAAGGAGCCAACGTTGGTATTTGTCCTCAGGTTTTCCATCGGCTCTTGCATTTTTCCCTACCTAGGCTCTGCCTAGAAGGGTTCTTACTCGCTTGACTTAAAGGGGCCGGGCAGTGCAAACCGCCCCGGGCGGTTCCCCCAGTCCCCTGGGAGGCAAGCAAAAGCAACAGCAAAGGTAAAAGCAAACTCGCGGTTCCCCCAGTTGCGCTCCCTGGGTGCCAAGCAAAAGCAAAAGCAAAGGCAAAAATGAAGGCAAAAGGCAAAGCAAAAGCATAGCATAGCATAGCACAGCATAACATAGCATAGCATAGCGCAGCATGGCATAGCGCAGCATAGCATAGCATAGCATAGCATAGCATAGCCTAACCTAGCCTAGCCCAGCATAGCATTGCGCAGCATAGCATAGCATATCATAGCATAGCATAGCATAGTATAGCATAGCATAGCATAGCGCAGCACAGCATCCACTATTGCTACTATATATACATATATGTGAACTTATATATGTGTGTGTACTTGCTGCCTGCTTCTGCTGCTGATTCACTTACGGCGTGGCGTCGTCGGTTCTGGCGCTACTACTACTACTACTACTACTACTACTACTACTACTACTACTACTACTACTACTACTACTACTACTACTACTACTACTACCACCACTACTACTGCTGCTACTACTACTACTACTACCACCACTACCACTACTACTACTACTACTCCTACTACTACTACTACTACCACTACTATTACTACTACTATTACTACTACTACTACTACTACTACCACCACTACCACTACTACTACTACTACTCCTACTACTACTACTACTACCACTACTATTACTACTACTATTACTACTACTACTACTCCTGCTGCTGCTGCTGCTCCTCCTCCTCCTCCTCCTACTACTGCTACTGCTACTGCTACTGCTACTGCTACTGCTACTGCTACTGCTACTGCTACTGCTACTGCTGCTGCTGACCGACTATTGCTACTGCTTACTACTGCTACTTGCTGCTGCTGCTGCTGCGCTCTTACTACTACTTTTAACTACTACTACTAAGCTACTACTACTACTAAACTGCGACTACTATCTACAAACTACTACTATACTACTTCTACTACTACTACTACTACTACGACCACTACTACTACTACTACTACTACTAGCTCTACTACTATTTACGACTACTACGACTACGAATTACAACTACTAATAGCCTACTACTACTACTACTACTACTGCTGCTGCTGCTGCTGCTTCTGCTCCTACTAAGTTTTGGGGGGGGTGTTTTTTGGCTACTACCACCACTACCGACTATCACTACTACTACTCCTCCTACTACTGCCTACTTGCTACTGCTACTGCTACTGCTACTACTGCTGCTGCTACCTACTACTATCTACTACTTACTACAGCTACTTACTACAGAAAATACTAGCTACGCTACTACCACTACTACTAATACACAAACTAACTCGATACGACACGACTACGACTACTACACGACGACGACGACGACCGACGACGACGACCGCGACGACGACGACGACCGGACGACGACGACGACGACGACGACGACGACGACGACGACGACGACGACGACGACGACGACCGACGACTTACTCTACTACCACTACTACTACACTGCTACTACTACTACTACTACTACTCTACGACTACGCCTACGACTACGACTACGCCTACGACTACGACTACTACTACTACTACTACTACTGCTGCTGCTGCTGCTACTACTACTACTACTACTACTACTCCTGCTGCTGCTGCTGCTGCTGCTACTACTACTACTACTGCTGCTGCTGCTGCCGCTGCTGCTGCTGCTGCTACAACTACGGCGATGGGGAGAAGGAGGAGGACGGCGTTTACCGCTCCTACTAATGTTGCTTTCCTAGAGGCTCCAACTCCTAGGTTGGGTCGCACAGGGATACTTTCCCTCCCTTCGGCCCTCCGACCGCCCAAGATGGCGCAAGCGGCCCAGGTCATCCAAGAGGCTTCCAAGATTGCCCCACGACGACCAAGAGGCCCTCAATACGATCCCAAGAGGGCCGTAAGACGGCCCAAGAGGCCTCCAAGACGCCCAAGATGCCCCCCCAAGACGGCGTTTAAGCGCCCTAGGAAGGCCCCAACCAGGTGTCGAAAGGCTTCCAAGATTTCTTCACGCCGTCAGACGGGCCAGGAACGCCCTAAGTGGGCCAAAGAGGCCCCCCACGAAGCCCCCTAGGGACCCCAAGAGGCCAAGGAGGCCCCCAAGACGCCTCCCAGAGGCCCCCCGCAAGTATCCAGGAGGCCCCCACGACTGTCCCAAAACTCTGCCACGAGGAGGCCTCCTCCTCCTCCTCCTCCTCCTCCTCCTCCTCCTCCTTCACTTCCTCAGATTTTGAGTGTTTTTCGCATTCTCGTCCTTTTAGGCTTCAGAGCGTCCAAGACGGCAATCGCTGCCTCCAACACGGCCCCGCGACGGCGCAAGAGTGCGCCACCATGGCCCGACAGGCGTCCCCGATGAACCCAAGAGGTCCTCCAGAGTGCCCCAGGAGGTCCACCAGCTCCCACCAGCCCCAAATGTCTCCATGAAGCCGCCGAGAGGCTTTCGAGCCGCATTCCGCCTTTCACAGGTGAACGGCCAGTGCTCTGCAGATTCCGTCCTTCAATGCTTCTGAGGCAGCCATCCCAGCCAATACACAGCACTGTATTGCGTGCCGACAACTCCTACCTCGAGCAGATTTCAGCGAGCACAATAGGCGCAGCTCCACCAGGAAGTGCCACGCTTGCCCCGCCAGCGCAATCTCTTCCGACCCTCACACCACATCTGCATGCGCTGCTTGCAGTGACGCCCTTTCCTGGCGTAGCTTCAGCACCAGGCAACGCCACGAGAACAGGAAATGCATCCGATGCGTCGCTACCACTCGCCTCCCTCGGTCGTCTACGGCTTACCAGTGCGCCAGTTGTGAAGCAACGAAGCCAGTGCATGCCTCCGTCCCCCGAAGTGTCCCTGGCCCAGACCCCGTCTGCATGGACTGCACAGCGGGCGGCCGAGACACGGCGGCTTGCGCAAAATGCGGTCTCGTGCTCCTCTGGACGAGCTCGTTCGCGAACGGTGCGAACGTCTACTCGGAGTGTGTCGGCCCTTCGCCGAAACTGGCAGACCCCCTGGCCACATCCACTCACTGTCCTTGGGCACTCTCAGCCTCCCCTGGGAGCATTGCGGGGCTCCGCGATTTCAGTGTAAGGTTGGAGCTTCTGCCGTGCGCACGGAAAGTATGCGATCGATTTCTCACAGTACTATCAGCAGACATTCAACGCGCTTCTGCAGTTGTATACGCACACCTAGCCCGTCAAGACTTCGCACGGGAACCTCGTGCACGATGACGCCACGAATGCTCAAAAAATGGCTGGCTTCACAGCCGACTCTCGTCGATACAACAGCTTGCGGAGCCTTGTCGCTAATGAGGTCCAACGCAAGCACCACCACTGAACGAAAAGTCCGATACGGAAGGGTTCCGAGGCCATCGTTCATCCTCATTCACGGCACCATGTGGAGATAAGTGCATTCGGCTGCCGACTGGGTCAGTTTGGTCGGTATTTCGTGGTCGACGACCGTGGGCACCGTACATGCGCTGGAGACCATGGCCTCGACCTATCCATAGTCTCCCAGTTGGAAAAGCTGATCATGCCGTACAGCAGGCAAATGCAGCACATCAACCACCTCGAAGCCTGCGCTGGGACGAGGATATTTCCAGGAGGTGGCCGCAGTAGTGCAAAGAAAGACTCGAAGGCGTTGCCGAACCCCGAGCTGTGTGCTTCCGATCGACGCGGGGCTCTCGCCCGCAATGCGTGTCTGATGGGCCTGTTTTCCGTCACCACCACCCTCCTCCTCCTCCTCCTCCTCCTCCTCCTCCTCCTCCTCCCCGCTCCTCCTCCTCCTCCTCCTCCTCCTCCTCCTCTTTCCTCCGCTCCCCTTCGTCTCCGCCTCTCATCCTTTTCCGCCTTTCCCCATCCAAAATTATGTGGGTGGTGTGGGGAAAACAGGCCCATCAGTCCCCCTGCGCCGCTGTGGTTTTTCCCCCCAATTGGCCACTCGCCCCGCGGGTGGATTGCTGAGAGTGGGAGATGGTTGTGGAAGGCCCCCGTCCACGCGGGGTGGGAGTGGGTCCTGAGTGAAGTGGGAGGAGGGAGTTTTTTTGGAGAGAGCGCCAGAGCCCGCCCCAGAGGCGGCGAGGCGGGATGGAGGGCAGGGACGTACTGTAGAGCGCCCAAGAAGACGCCGCGGCCTCGCCCCGCCACCGCCCCCACATTCATGCCTCCGGAAAATTAGAATTGACGACCGGTACAGCTTGGTGCTCGCCCGGCCACCTGCTGCCTCAGGCCAGCCCTCCGCATGCCGGCCGCCCCCTCATTCTCTTCCTCCCCCTTCCTCCTCCCCTCCCCTCCCCCTCCTTCCTCCTCCCCTACCCCTACCTCTCTCCCTACCTCCTTCTACTCCCTCCCTCTCCTCCTCCTCTCCTGCCTCCTCCTCCTCATCCTCATCCTCCTCCTCCTCCTCCTCCTCCTCCTCCTCCTCCAACCCCTCCTCCCCCCCTCCTCCTCCTTCCCCTGCTCCTCCTCCTCCTCCGGCACCTGCGGCGTTGGCCCC